CCAATTTCACAAAGAAAAACAAGTTGCCTGCGGAAGTGGTAGTGAAAGCAATGTCTCCGAGATCAGATTTTAAAGGCAGCTTCGGCGGCACCCTTGAAAATTGGAGATCAACCAATAAGAATTTTGAAAGATGTCCCATTTGAAATAAGAATGAAAAGAAAGGAATATAAAGGGCTGACCATGTTCTTACAAAATCATCAAGTGAGTTACCGATGGTTGGTGCCAGAAGGACTGGTCTTTAAATTTAAAGACAGAAGAGAAAAGATAGATTCTATCTTTAAAGCTCAAGATTTTTTGAAGAGGCACGCTAGTTCAGAAGAAGAAGCAGAACTTGCCAAGTGGATGTCGGGAGGCAGCGGAGAGGACAGCAGTTCTGAGGGAGAGGTGAAGGATGAGGAAGACAAAGGAGCGACTGGCATAAAGTACAACTTGAGGGACAAAAAAGGGAAAGGCCCCAAAAACTAACTATTTTGGATTACGCTATAAAAGTAATACTAACCCCAAAGGGACATTACTAACATATTAACTATTTGGTTTTGAAAAATAGAGAAGAAAAGAAGATCGCCTGACCACAGAAGAAGCTTAGACTTTAACTTTAATTGTTTAAAAAAAGTTTAATTTACTAATACTTAACATCACTCACCACTTTTCTTTATCCCTCTATATCCCCTCCCTAACTTTCTATTGTAAAAGCAAAAATCTCTCCTTTTTAGGAGAGGGAATAAAACTTTATTTTTTTTAAAAAACCCTCACAAGCAGAGTAAGCATGAAATGCCTCTGGAGGTGACCCCCCCCCCCCCCGTGCCGCCTGCTCAGGACGCCTATTCCACATGGTGGAAGCGACAATGGGAAAGGCCCAGGTTTTAGGCAATGTCACGATACAGGCTCCCCAAAACTTGCAGGTGGCAACCTGAGGATCACAGCTGGTGCATGGAGACATATGGCAAGAGGTGGGTCCGAGGCTTCAAAGGGCTGTGGTGCTCATCACCTGCACCCTTCACTGAACTGGAAAACAAACTTGCAGCCAACGTTGCTGTTTTAAAGCTGGCAAGATGTCAGCTAGCTCCCAGCAATAATTGGCCCAGCTACAATTTCTGCATTACTGATCCCTTGGAGCAGAAACTCCACACTGAAACCATCAGCAATTCCCCCTGTTTGCATTCAGCTTTACAGAGTCCAGTCCTGGCGCCTGTTTTTAAATTCCAGGGCTTAACCCTGGCCCATGTGAAGTAAGACTAGATTAAAGTGTTCTTGAGCAGGTGCAAAGTACATCTCCTTTATCACTGAGTAACTAGAGGGAATCCTCGCTTTGTAGGGATAAGACAGGGAAGGCTGCCAATTTAGAAGGGCATGTTTCCAGAGTAACAATTAGATATCTCAGCACGATCAGAATTTATGGAACTGCTTTGATATTAGTGTGTATCTTCTTTAAATTGATTCCCACTACTTCCCCCCCACACACTTATTTATTTATTTATTTAACTTTCAATTTAACACATCTAGATTTGTAATAATTTTCTCCATATTTCCTCTCTTATGATATTGGGGTAATAGTTATGAAAAACTCTAAAAAATATTAAGTAAAATTTCCATATAAAATTGAGCCCAAGCTTCAGTTTTCTGGAAATTAAGCAAGGCTTGTGTGGGGTGGTACAAGCAACCATCACACTCTTCTTTATTGAGGCATATGTCCCTCCCTAATGGGGGCAATATGTGGCTTACAACTGGCAGAATTAATAGTACACATTTAAATATTAGCAGCATCCATGTCCAACATGCAGTCTACAAGGTGCTAAAGATATAAATTAAAATAGAAGAAAGCAAGAAATGTATATGTCTGACATACCACTGTAAAAGACTACATCCTAAGCAGAGTAACACCATTATAATACCATTGACTTCAATGGGCTTAGAAGGGTGAAACTGTGCTTGGGATACCTCTAGAAAAGAGCAGTGACTAATGAAAGCTCATATCCTGCCACAAATTCTGTTCGTCTTTAAGGTGCTACTAGACCAGTGGTGGCCAAACTGCGGCTCAGGAGCCACATGTGGCTCTTTCATGCATATTGTACAGCTCCAGACAGGGTGGCTGGGGAAGCTAGATATCATTAGCAAATAAATTGTTGTTGTTCAGTCGCACAGTCGAGTCCGACTCTTCGCGACCCCATGGACAATCTCCCGCCAGGCTCTCCTGTCTTCCGCCGTCCTCCGAAGTTGGCTCAATTTCATGTTCGTTGCATCGCTGACACTGTCTAACCATCTCATCCTTTGCCGTCCCCGTCTTCTTTGACCTTCAATCTTTCCCAGCATCAGGGTCCTCTCCAGTGAGTGCTCCCTTCTCATTTGGTGGCCAAAGTATTTGAGCTTCAGTTTCATTATCTGGCCTTCCAGGGAACAGTCAGGGTTGATTTCTTTGAGGATTGACTGATTTGTTCTTCTTGCAGTCCAAGGGACTCTCAAGAGTCTTCTCCAGCACCATAGTTCAAAAGAATCTATTCTTCGGCGCTCGGCCTTCCTTATAGTCCAACTCTCACAGCCATACATGACTACTGGGAATACCATTGCTTTGACCATGCGGACTTTTGTTGGCAGGGTGATGTCTCTACTTTTTATCATGCTGTTTAGGTTCGCCATCGCTTTCCTCCCAAGGAGCAGGCGTCTTTTAATTTCATGGCTGCAGTCACAGTCTGCGGTGATCTGGGATCCCAGGAACGTGAAGTCTGTCACTACTTCCACGACTTCCCCTTCTATTTGCCAAGGAGTGATGGGGCCGGATGCCATGATCTTAGTTTTTTTGATGTTGAGCTTCAAGCCCACTTTTGCGCTCTCCTCTTTTACTCTGAGCAAGAGGCTCTTTAGATCCTTTTCACTTTCAGCCATTAGAGTGGTATCATCTGCATATCTGAGGTTGTTGATCTTTTCCCCAGCAATCTTAATTCCCGCTTGTGATTCATCCAGGCCAGCATTTCGCATGATGTACTCTGCATATATATTAAATAAGCAAGGCGACAATATACATCCTTGTCGTACTCCTTTTCCTATGCTGAACCAATCAGTTGTTCCATATCCGGTTCTAACTGTCGCTTCTTGGCCCTTATATAGGTTTCTCAAGAGACATGTGAGGTGGTCTGGTACTCCCATCTCTTTAAGGACCTGCCATAGTTTGTTGTGATAATATTTTTTTATTTGTGATAATAATAGTTTGTTGTAAATATCATTGGACAAATAAATATCATTATCAATATCTGCTTTTAGTGCTTTTGATATTATTTTGGCGGTCTCATTTAATGTTAATAAAAAGCAAATTTGCATATTTCCCAGTAAAAACATGCAATATTCGTTTGTGTCTTGTGGCTCTCAAACATCCAACGTTTATTCTATGTGGCTCTTACATTAAGTTAGGCAAACTTCTGTCTCTGCCACACCCTCTCATTGGTAGAGCTGGATTTATGCATAAATCAAGAGCCCAATCAAGACACTACATTTTATATGTGACTGTTATGTGGACTTGCAGCTATAAGGCAACTGCATGTTCCTGGTGGCTACTCTAGCTTAGAAGCACTGCCGGGGCCTGATTCAAATTGGGACCAAGGTTCAGGGAGGAGGGGTGCCTTTCTTCCACCTATCCCATTTCCCTGACCCCAAAGGGCACCAGGGAGCCTTATTTGCCCCATCAGGGGGCTGCATGTACACTGAATGTTTGCATGTGCAACCCCCTGATGTGGCAAATGATGCCCCTCAGAGCTGCTCTGGGTCAGGAAAATGAGGGAACTAGTCCAAGAAAACCGGCCCAGCAAGTGAACTTTGCTGGCTGGCACTGCAAAAATTGGAAATGGCTGGAGAATGATGGTATCCCACTTAGCAAGTGCGCCTGACAACGGGAAAGCAGGGCAAAGCAGAATTTGCTCCTCTGGTTCTTAGAAGGTTAGTCGGCCCTGGAATACAACCGGCATATAAGGCTCCCAGCTCCGCAGCGTGACCCGTTGCATATGAACTCAAAAAGTAGTCCTCCTTGTTCAGTTCACTCAGTCCCAAGTAACTATGCAGAGGACTGCAAGCCCAAGAGTCCCACTGAACTCCTGAGTGGCTTATTCTGGAGAAGACGGCGTAGGTAGGATTGGCCAGCTCTAATTTAGAAGTTGGTTCCAGGCTGCGGCCACCCGCAGCAGTTTGAGCAAGCCGATCCTCTGCAGAATTAGATGCATGTAAGAATTAGATGTTGCTTTTCTCACACACACGCACGCAGCGAGCCTAGACGCGAGTCAGAGCGCAGTGTTCGCTGCTTACAGTATGCACACGAAACCCATCCCAAACGACAGCATTTGGCTCCCTCCCTGCCATTTTCCCACTGCAATCCAAAGGTGGCTTGGGCTTTCATGAGCACCTCAGCTGTCGGGGGATAATAACCGTGCAGTAGAGGTTCCGAGGGTGACCTTCGTCTGGCTCAAGAACTCGAAGCTACTGCTCTGTCTCAGGGCGCAAAGGGGCCTGCCTGCGGCCACGAGCTCGGGCAGAACCGGTGCATAAAAGGAGAGACACTGACTGGACACGGGAGCTGCAGAGGAGCCAACGCTCGCTCCGAAAAGCCGTAGGCAAAAAAAGAAAACACCCACAAAACAGCAGGCCCATCGCGGTGTGCGTTCCCTTTAAATCTTCGCCGAGGCTGCCTCGCCCTCGGAACGCGATCCTTCTTTATGAATGAAAACCCTCCTCGGAAAAGTATGTAAATCAGACTGCCTTGGTTGGTTCTATTCCCCCGAAGAAAAATTTAGGCACTTCATCGTTGCGAGAAGGCGGGTTTAGCACGGGCTGCTGGGCAGCTGCAGCCAATCAGAACCGGGAGGCGTTGTACCATCCGAGCGCCATTGGGTGCCTGGTAGGGTAAACAAGCTGCGATCGACAACCTCTGGCAGGACTGCAGGCCAATAGGGGTAGGGCGGGGCGGGCACTGGAGGCCGTTCGGGGGCTCCGGCAGCAGCTCAAAGGAGACATTGAGCTTCTAGCGATTGCAGAGCGGCGGTTCTATGCCCAGGTGAGGAGGGGTGAGGTTATTCAGCCTCTGGGGCCAAAATCTGGGGTCCTCAGGATGGCGGTATGGAGCAAGGGGCGTGCGTAGCTGTGGATTGGGTCGGTTGCCGGAGGCCGCCAGCCGGGGTGCAGGTGCTTAAGGCGCAAGGTGCTGGGCTGGGAAGGGAATGCAGTTGCTACAAGGGGGGCGTTGAGCAGATCTGGGGGGATCTGAAAGTAACAGAGTCAGTTTTGAGCCGTAGGAGGGGGTGGATTTGGGGGCTGCAGAGTGCCTGGGGGTTGCATTGAGTGCGTAGAGTTGCACAGCCGCGCCGCCACAGGCTGCTGCAGGCACTGGCTCTGCCGAGAGTTTTTGTGAATGTGGGCGATTTTATGAATGGAGCTGGTTTTGTGTGAATGAAGCATTGAGTGCGGGGGCGGGAGCTAAGTCTCTTTCGCGGCGTTCTGTGGGGGTGGGGGCACATCTGAAGGCGTTTCATGAATGGAGGGAGCTGGAAAGTGCGTGCCTTGTTTTTGTGAATGGGGCCCTACGCTAGGGATCTAGTTACATTCTACCTGCTCTCGTTGCTTCCTCTGCCATTCGTAAAACTTAGGCCAGATTTGCGCTGAGGGGGAAGGGATGGTAATTGTATTGTTTGGCTGTGCTAAAGATTTTTCCTAGGGGCACGGGAAAGGGAGGAAGAGAACTGCAGCGGCTGAAGTACGCCGCGGGTTTACAGATAGTGACTTTTTGTTTATTTGAATCGGAGAGCTTTTGTTCAGAACCGATAAGGGAAATTATAAATCGAGTTATTTTTTTAAACATTTTAATAGGTGCATGGTCTCGGTGGATGTTTAGGAGCAGTCTGCAACAGTTGGTCCTCTAGGAAGTCCGCAAGAGATCCCTCTTTTTAAATAATGTTAGGAAGTTAATGTTTAAACTTTTTGTACATCATGGATTTGGGTTTTCCCCCCTCTAAAATTAACTAGAAAATATAAATTGCGTACCTCCTAGTTGCTCAGAAATTGTGCGATGCAAAACTTTCTTGAGCATGAATTCAAGGTAAAGCTATTTAGATGGCATCCCTCTGTTTTCTTTTGGAGTAAACCCCTTTGAACTATGTGAGGTTTGCATCTCAGTGAAAGTGCGTAGGTTAGGACTGCCAAGGAATGGCTCCTGCTTGCATATTAAGATTTGATTCCTGTACTGCACACAGGCTGCTTGGAGGAACAGCAAGGGTTGCATCAGAAGAACAAGGGAGTTGTGTTTTTCCATTTCGTGTTGCCCCACAGTGTCACCCGAACATGAGGATTCTGTTACAGCATATTTAAACTGTCTTGTCAGTAGTCTAAAGTATATTTGAAGTTAAAAGTAGAGGTTTGCTAAAAGCAATATTACTTCCAAAGATGCTTGAAAGGCTGCTGTCCTCAGCACACTTACTTGGAAGTCAGTGCCAAGGAAACCGAAATAATTTACTTTTGGGTAAACTGTGTTTGCTCTTCTCCCATCTAGTCAAGGTTCCTCATTTTAAAAGCCACAGAATAGAATCCCATTTTCTGCAAACTTGTTGCTTTTTATATTTTATCTTTTGACCATGTAGGGAGAAAAACGTATTCTGAGCAATGTGATCTCTGTCCATGCCAGCCTCTCCATGTTTCTTCTTAAGCAGATGTAATTAGTGTTTAATGATGTCACAGCTGTTTCCATAGTAACTCTATGACATCAAGGATTAAAGATTGGGGCCTTTGTGTGCTGACAAAAACCGATAAGACAGTATGGTAGTAACTTAATGAATGAACATGAGCAATCATAGTGAATGGATGAATGGAAGGGGAAAACCACTGCAGTGGATTGATTTTGCAATGAAGAATGCTTGGTATGTGTTATCAAAGCACACAACAGATAATCCTCAGAGTTTACAGTTCATGTTCACGAGATTCTGTTAGAGATTCTGTCTTTAAAAGTGGCTTGAAGACAGAACATGTTTTGATTTTTTTTCTCTCTTCTCCCCCTGCCCCCCATTTAAATTTGCCAGCGCTAGATTCTGAAAAGTCTTCTCACCCTGGAATTACTCAATGCTGAAAATATTCAAGAGAATATTAAAGAATCTGCAAGCACAATGGATGGTTTCTATGATCAGCAAGTACCCTTCATGGTCCCTGGGGTAGGTCGTGTCTGGTTTCACCTTTTTGTTTGGTGCTCCTAGCATAAAACTGCATTTTCTCTCCTTTCTATGAAATGTTGACTCTGTTCTTCAGGTCTTTTTTTCTAAGTGCACCATTTTATTTATTTGCTTCTGCCAGAAACCTTGCACTGAAGAGTGTCGAGGGAGGCCAGTAAATGATAGGAAACGGAAGTTTCAGGACACTGACCTGGCCCATGATTCTGAAGGTAATAAAGATTCCTCCCCCCACACACTCATGCATGACTGCCGTCATTCTAACCAGGATGTGCAGCCTTTCATGTATGTGGAGCGGTCACTTAGATGGTTTTTCTTTTCTTTTTCAGAATTGTTTCAGGACCTTAGCCAGCTGCAAGAGGCTTGGTTAGCTGAAGGTAAATATCTATGTTGATACTGTTGTCTAGATCTTTTTGTGCTTTGATAATTCAGAGAGCCTAAAACAGTGTAAAACTTTTCTTTTGTAGCGCAAGTTCCTGATGATGAACAATTTGTCCCAGATTTCCAGTCCGATAACTGTAAGTAACTCTTCTCTTCTTTGCCTGCTTGCTGTGAAATTTGCAAATATGTTGCAAAATATGTAACACATTTTGATCCCTCCCTAGGTGGCTGTTTTTGTTTCTTTCTTTGTCCTTATTAATAAATATGTAGGTGTTTGTATCTGGACACATTTGTAGAGTTGGTGGTGGGAAGTAATTCAACCAGTGAGACAATGGAAAGCTTGGGAGAACAGCCTGGTTTGAATTGAAGAACTAAGGAGATATATTGGGAGTTATCTCTGGGGTTGCCGATTAACCTTGATCTCTGCAGAACCCTTTCAAAAACCCCATGAATACTTCATAATGTAAAAGATATGAAAACCCATTTGACAGCAAGCACAAGAACACTCTGGCTTTCCCCAGCTCTGTGCCTCCAATTCCCTCAATGACTTCTCTGGCTATTAGAGCAGTTGCAAGCGAAGCTGTGAAGGACAAAGCTTTGCTGGTGAAACTTGAGCAGCTTCAGGGAGCATTAGTCATTGGCAAGGCAGCAACTCCACTAAGGCTGCTCAGAAAACCTCTCCCGCTCTTGCTCTGCATTAGAAAGAGAGTGTGCGCTTTGTTATCCCTGCAGGGTCTGAGAACCAACACCTGGGTCTTTGGGGAGGGGTTGTTTGTTTCTTTATTTTTCCCTCTGGATGCAGCAAGCAACTTAAGCTTGCATGTTCTGTGCATATTTTTAGACTCTGATATTGGGGTGTTAAGAGGTTTAAATGGAAGCAAGTGACTCTCTGACTTGTTGACTGCAAACCTTGCTGGTATGGGCGGGCAGGGGGAGGTGCTTTTTGGCTAGGCTGTTTTGATGGCTGAGAAATGTGTAGGGAGGAAAACATAGCCTGCAGTGGAACAGATTCTTCATTCAGACTCTGTCACAACACGCAGTGGAGTATCTTCTGCTACAGTAAATGCATGTTAATTATTGCCCTTTGATTACTTTTAAGTGAATGGGAAGCTTGCCATGAAAGCTTCTTCAGACAGACGGCCGTGTTTTGCTGTGCTCTCTTCCCCCCCCCCCTCCTCCTCATCTTCCCTGAGATGAAAGGCAGCCTGGAGTCAGAAATTTTGCTCTCTGTTGACATTCTAGCCCAGCCCTTCCAGTTCTTGCTTGGAGCAGTATAAACTGCAGTCAATCTGTGGGGGAGGAAGTGTTGTTGGCAAAGGTGTTTTTGAATGTGCCTCTTGGCAAGCTTTTACATCTCTGTAACCTGAAGGATTGTGGGAGTAACAAAACGACTTCTCTGAAGTGCTGGGCCTCTGCAGCAAACCTGGTGAAACAGTGCAGGAGTTCTTAGCTAAAAAATCCCCGGCCTCTGTGAATACACTCATTGCATTCTGCGTTTGTGGAAAATAAAGTCAATGGCAGGAGGAGTTCCCATTGGAAGCTGTTTATTTATGAATGAATGGCTTCCTGTCTGGAATAGATCTCGCAATGCAAAATGAAGTCTTACTGGAACAATGCGTTCAGATCTATGAATGAAGCAGAACGTTCAATCATTTAATAGTTCAAACCACCAAGCCTGGTGAAAAGTCTGTGCTTTCTCTGCCACCAGAGGCCTAAATTCTAAGCACAAGGTAGAGATTTGCTAACAGGACTGAAATCAGTTTTGTTGCTAGGACTGAAATCAGTTTTGTTGCTGTCCATAAAGTGGACAGGCTTCTACTATCCCTATCAGAACAGCATCTGTTGAGTGAAGTTAATAATTTTAATGTCTATAGAGGTGATGCCAAAATAGCTGTAAGAAATCTGCGAACAGCCATCAGGATTTAAAGGAAGGGATACCTTTGGAAAACTGAAGAGTTTTTGAACTGCTTTTGTTAATATGGCATACGTTGCTCTATGATGATTCACTGGCTTGAATTATCCATGCTTACTGTGGTCTCTGATGTAGAAATCCACTGTTGTATGACTAACACACTAATCTTAAACACACTTCTTTGGAAGTAAGCTTCGTTTAAACTGTAGGCTCATAGCCAAGAAAACACATTTTGGATTGGGCATTTATGATCCAGTCGAACTTGTTTTGTGTTAGAGAGCTATTCTGCTATACTTTGGGTTTAAGGCATGGGGGTTCCCATTGCCATTTGGTTGTGGGCTTTCTTTTTTTTGTGGTGCTTTCTAGTATGTCATCGCATGAAATCATTTCCTTGGATATTGTTGTAGTTGGAGCTCAGGCACTCTCATTCTCACTTAAGCTCTTTCGACGTATTCTCTACACATCTCTGTCTCTGCTGGTATGGATTTTGATCTCTAACAGTTGCCCTGTGAAAAGTTTTAGGTTAAGGAGTGCCTTTTCCTTCCACTCCCTGCCCAGTACCACTTCAGTTATCTGTTTCAGTTTTATTGTCCCAGGTTCTTTTTACTATTACCTTACAAAGGGATTTTCCCAACCTTGGCATTTTTCATGCAATAAATATGCAGGGAGCATTTGTTGCCGAGATTCCAGAGACTTTTTTCTTGTTATGTTTGTGTGGAGATGGTATTTCCCCCCCAGTTAGCATAACTTCATAATGGCTAGCATTTGCAGAATGTGGTTGCGCGTGTGTGTCTCATGTACCCATTGGATAGCACCTCTGACATCATGAATGACAAGACACCCTATTTTCCCCATGTCTCTCACCAGAAGGTGTGGGGACAGTGCTACTCTAAAAAATGGGGACAACTGAATGGAAGGAATGTCTCTGTTGTGGAGTTCTTTTAGTGGTGTCTGCCACTAAACCATATAGCATTCTGCTACTCCTTGTGAGACAGCCCAGATTTCTAGTGATTGGCTACATCTCTTTCAGCATTAATAGTTGGGTCTCTTCAGCTGGTTTATGGCAAGTGTGGCTAGAGAATGTTGCTTTGTACACTCTTTTAAAAGATATTATCATTGCTTTTTTTTTTTGCAAAAAATCCCTTGAGGTTGAGTGAATTTCAGGCTGTTTCTTGTTTCTCCAAAACCAGAGATGAGGGACCAGTTTTTAAGTGAATCCCAAGAATCAGAACTCTTGCATGACAGGAATGAATTATTGCATCGAGTGATGGGTCATTCATGACTACTTCAGAAGTTAGCCAGTGGTTCTGAGATTTGCCGGCATGTTTCCTGTAGCCACTCTTTGGGACACCAAAAGATGAAGCATTTCTATGGAAAGCAAAGTGCAGCAAAGGTCTGGGTCAGTGTGGGATTGCTTCAAAACAGTATGAGAGGCTTAGATCAGAGAAACTTTGTTCCGTCTCCTCTGGCCTGATTTCTCCAAAGATAAGAAACTGACTTTTATGGGGGGGGGGCGTCTGTTGGATTGATGACAGAAGCAATAACCTCCTAGGATTGTAAATCCTTCTTGCAGATTGCTTGGTGGCAAAGTGCTCTGGAGGTAAGCAGGTGTGTCCCAAGAGTGAGATCAATTGGCTTTCCAGGCAAAATGTTGCCAAGCAACTGGCTTGTATGTACAGGTTAGGTTGGAGTTTGGTAACAAATTTCTCTAGTAGGGAATCCACAGCAGCCTGGGACATTATGGCTGAGTTCAGACTGGCAGTTTGAAGCGCTAGGGAGTCATGGCAAAGAAAACCCGGAATAGACCTGGAACGGCTTGGTTGCGGTATTCCCATTCACACCGCAGCGAATGAAGTGGGAGGATACTGTGGAGGAAGCGCAAGGGAGTGTTCATACTGTTGGGCCGCCCTGGCGGCCTGTTAGCGGCTATTTCCACATTGGGTTGCATGCGCCCATGTGCATGGGCACATGGACGCAGCGGCAAATACACCAGGATCGCGCAGGCACCAACGGCACCTGCCTGCAGACACAGCCGGTGCCTATGATCAATTACTGTGGGTTGTTCCCGCCTTAGCAGCACTTGCGTTCACACTCAGGGAACCGGAATCAATGCACTCTATACACGGTTTGCTACCACTTTTAAACTCAGGAGGGAAGCAGCACAAGACAGCTTGAGTACGGCTGGGGGATGCCTGAAACATGTGGCTGTGTGAACCCGCCCCTTTAATCCGCTACTGAAACACTCCTGAAACGTTTGCCTGCCGTGCCAAACTGCCAGTCCAAATGTGGCCTATGATTGTGGAAGTAAGGTTATGCTTCTGCAGGAGGCAAATGAATGGTCAGGCAGTTGGTACCACACAAGCATGCAAGGAGACTTTTAAACATCTATCTAATGCTATCTAATGGGGATATGACTAGATGGGGCATAGTATGGTAAAGAACCTAGAGCTGCAGACCAGTGTTCCCTCTAAGCTGAGTTAGTGTGAGCTAGCTCACAATTTTTTAGCCGGGCTCCAGAGCAAGCTAATTTATGCAGCAGCCAAATTGCCTGCTCACAGCTTTAATACCAGTAGCTCACAAAGTAGAATTTTTGCTCACAAGACTCCACAGCTTAGAGGGAACATTGCTGCAGACCCTAGTCTGGTGATTTTTCTGAGAAATCTGTTAGCACGGGTCACTTGTAGCTCACCCATGGTCCAAATCAGGCAAGTCATTGACTCAGTTCTGCTTTTCCAGCAGAATTGTGATCCCCCCCCTTGTAAAGAGTATATAAATACATTGAAAATGAGGTCTGTACACATACTGAGTTGCAGTCAGGAGAACTGCCTGGTGCAGCTCTTGCTGGTCTGTATCACTTGAGGCTACAGGTGGCTGGCTGAATGTTACCTTGGTTGCCTAATTAAGTTGGAAACATGGCATATAAATTGGCTGATGAAATATGTAAATACCCCCCATTAAAAAAAACCTCTCATATCTATAAACCAAGAATATCAGATGTAAATTTATTTTCATTGATACACTAGCTTTCTGTGTTCAAGGAGTTTTTGTGCAGGGGTGTTGGGACTTGAACCTACAGTTGATGTC